TCGTGATTATGTTTGGTTTTGTCTTCTGCGTGTAAGATTCCTTTCAGAGTCTTCTGTAGTGGTGGCTTGGTGGTCATATATTGTTTTAATTTCTGTTTATTGTGGGAGGCTTTTATTCCTCCATCAATTTTGAATGATAGTTTTGCTGGGTAGAGTATCCTAAGACTGAAACGGTTTTGTTTCTGTGCTCAAAATACCTCTCTCTGTGCCCTTCTTGCTTTTAAAGTTTCAGTTGACAAGTCTGCTGTTTGTCTGATGGGTTTACCTTTATGTGTTATTTGTTTTTTCTCTCTTACAGCCTTCAGTATTCTTCCTCTGTTCTCTGTGCTTGATGTTTTAACAATAATATGCTGTGGAGAGGTTCTGTTTTGGTCAAGCCTGTTTGGTGTCCTGGAGGCTTCCTTTACCTGAATGGACAGCTCTTTCTCTAGATTTGGGAAATTTTCTGCTATGATTTTGTTAAATATATTATGTATCCTTTTGGCTTGAACCTCTTCTCCTTTCTCTAAGCCCATGATTCTCAGGTTTGGTCTTTAGGTGGAGTTTTTGAGTTCTTGTGTATTCTTTTCACAGCTTTTGTGAGTCTTTTGTCTAAGAGTTCTTCTGTTTTTTTTTTTTTTAATATCTGTTTCATCTTCAAGTCCTGAGAGTCTATCTTCCACTTGTTCTAGTCTGCTGGAGTGGCTTTCCCCTGGTTGTTTTTTTTTTTTTTTTTTTTTTTTTTTTTGATTTAAGGAACTTTCTATTTTCAGGGTTTCTGTTTGATTCTTTTTTTCTGAGGTTTTCTGTATCTTTGTTCGTCTCCTCTTTCATATCTTGTATTATCTTCTTTATTTCATATCTCTCTTTTTTTATAGTCTCCTTTGTTTCACTTTGGAGTTTGTTGATGTCCTTTCTGAGTTCATTTAGTTGTTTTTGTGTCTCTCAAATTTTTTATTTGTGGTGTCTTCATATTTCTTGAGTATATCTTGTACTTTCTGGTTACTCATGTCTTTTAGCTTCTCCATGAGTTTCTCAGTGATCTCATCCATAATTTCCTCTGTGAGAGATTTTTTTATGGACATCACTGAGCTCAGTGGTGATACTTGTCATTGTTCTGTTGGGGTCAGGAACTGGGCATTCATTTTCTTCTTTTCCTACTATCGAATTGTTGGTCTTCTGGGAGGTAGGATATCCTGGCCTCTTTCTCCTCCCCATGCTTCTATGATGTGCTGTGCTCCTATGTTGTTGAGTGGTTAGTTGGGGATTTTAATCAACTGTTATCTTCCCTTGACTTCCTGTGCTATCACTGGTTTAGTTGTTAGCTAGGTAGTTCTGCTATTTCTGTTCCCTGACTAGGTGGTATAAATTAGCAATAACAAATTCACTGATTCAATGACAGACCAGTTATTTACAAAATATCTAGTAAGCCCCTTGGTGATATTATCTATAAGTCATGGAGATTAGGGGGATACTGGTTGTTTGAGTAGAGATGGATACTTAGGTATTAAAAGAACTGGTGGTGGAGGAAGGGGCAGGAAGGGGGGATAAGGTGAGAGGGAAGGGGTATAAGGCATGGAGGTTCTAGGGTACTAAGTCCCTAGTGTGTGTGTTGAGGTGTAGTTCAGTTGTTGTAGAAGAGGGTGCTATTGTCAGGGATTGCCAGGGGATAGAAAGGATGGGGTAAAGTGTAAAGTTGATATCCTAGACTATTCAGTGGGTAGTGTGTTTTGAGAAGGTTGAGGTAGTGGGGGGAGAGGAAGATGAAAAGAGATGAGAAAGAAAAAATTGGGGTAGAGAAAGGAAAGTGGGGGAATAGAGGGCTGAGTGAGTTAGTATTAGGACAGAATGGAGAAGGTAACAGTAAGATAGAAGAAAAAATAAGTTAATATTAAAAATTAAAAAAATACAAAACAAAAGTAAAATAAAAAGATGTGTGTGTGTGTGTGTGTGTGTATCTTTAAAAAGCAGTTCATTGAATGTTCTGGACTCTATCCTCTGATTTCAGGTTGAGGTGGTGACACTTTTATGTAGGGGCTTTGGCCAAGATTGTCCCTTTTTAAGGTTGGTATGTTAGGTTGCATGGCAGTGAGTGTTGCTCTTCCCTACTGGACAGCTTTGGGGGTCTCAGCTCTAGGTATTTGAGCCTGGGCTTCCTTAGTGGAGTGGGTCTCTGGAGCAGACAGGTTCTTAGAAGTGGTCCCATGAGGGGTTGGTAAATGAGCAGTCGCCAGTCTGTTCCACTCACAGGTCAAGCTTGTGAGTGAGAAATGAGCCTTTCTCTTAGTGAGACTGTCAGTTTCAGCTTGCTCCCAGTTTCCCCAAGGCAGTTCATTGCTTGGCCTTCCCCACAGGGACTGCTGAGTAGCTCCACCTCCACAAGAGCTTTTTCTGCCCCTCTCCCCCATCCCAGGCAGAGGGCAAATATTCCCTCTGTGTATTTGGCCATCAGTTTTGTCCAGAAGGGGTGCATTTGGCTCCCCAGCTGTGCTAGAATATGTGGGTTCCCTCCCAAACAGTGTGTGTGCTCACCTGGTGGGTTATCAGATTTGCTTGGTTGAAAACGGATCACAGGGCAGCGCAGGCAGGTGGCAGACAGACGTTTTGTGTCCACTTGTGTTTGGCAGGTCCCCATTTTCGCAGCAACTCTCTTTCTGCAGTTGTTGTGTTATTGTTGGCGAGGTTGCAGACACACTAAGGCAGAAAGAAATCTGAGCCAGTGGGTGGCAGTTGGAAGTTCTGTGTCTGCACATATTATGGCAGGTCCAGGTACTCCCAGATGCTTGCAGGTATCTGCCGTTCTCTGCATTGTGTTTTAGCTTTACCAACCCAGGCGGGAGGGAATTAAGAGAGAGAGAAAAAGAAAAGAAAAAGACAAAAAGAAAAAAAGTGGCCAATTGGCTGGGTCTATCTGACCCTGTTCCCAGCTGTTTCCAGCCCGCGAATTGATAGGCAGGCTGCCGCAGCTGCCTGACCCTGTGCCAGGCTGTATGTGCTTTAAAAAGTTAGTTTAAGGGCCCGGTCAATGAATTTTATGTGCCCCCTGTGTGTTGGCGGTATCCTGGTTGGCAGAAAAAAGCAGTATTACCCAATCCTTGTTGCCACGAAAATCTGCAGTAATTATTTGAAATCATGCGGGTCAAGGTCTAAACTTTTAGGTTCCTGGTTGGTGTAGGGGAGGAACAGTGGGGAAACCCAGGGATCTAAATGCTCTTTAAACACTTACAGTCAGTGCATTTGTGATTAGTACACACCACCACATTTATTCACATTCAGAGGTGTTCAACCAATCAGTTTTGAGACTTTTGGGGTTCACTGGTGAATGGATTGCTTCTAAGTGTTTCTTGTGGCAGGTTTAGGCTTGCTTTCTTTGGTCTGCTAAATTGGTTCTATTTGTTCCATCTGCTTTCAAGCTTCCAGTGTATATGAGAGTGTGTGTGTGTGTGTGTGTGTGTGTGTGTGTGTGTGTGTGTGTCCATAGTTTTAATTTTCTTCGTGTTTGAGGCTTAAAAGGAAAAAAAAAAACTTCAGTAAGATGTCAGGAAATAATGAGGATAAAGGTGATTCTTCTTTTAATTAAAATACTAATATAAGAAGGATATATTTTTATGATACTGAAAAACCATGGTCTCTTGCCTCATATCTACAAATCTTACACCTTTTCTAGTGTTTTTTTTTATTTTTCACTTTAGTTTTCCTAGCATGTTCGTCTTGATTTTTAGATGAAAAATATTTGTGAACAACTCTAAGGGAAATTTTTCCCTCAAGTTTTCTTTTTTATTTGTTTCTTCCAGAGTAACTTCTTTCTTTTTTGTTGGGAATTATTTACTATATTTTGTCTTCTTTTTTTGTGTTTGAGTCTTCTGCAAATCTCTGATCCTTAGTTATTTACTTGTATCTGAATGAGACTTTAAAAAGGCAATTGGTAATTCTGTTTATATGGGTGGGACTTGACTAACTTTGCATTGTGGTGATTGAGTGTATGGAGCTTCAGAGGCTCTCTAAATGCTCTCTCCAACTTCTCACTTGTTTTGGGTAAGAAGCCTCCTTTTTTCTGCCTGGAGACAACCAGCAGCTAAATGCAGACAATACAGCAGCTAATCCTCTGTCCTTCATTCAGGGACTGGGCCTGAAGAATGGCTGTTGCACATTAGATTTACACCTGGAGTCCATCTTATAGCACTCTGATATGCTTATTTTTATAGAGTTTCAGTTTGGAGTACCTTATGCTCTTTGACTTTGGCTTCCTCTGCCCTACGAAGTTAATTAACACTTTCCCCTCTGTTTACTTTCTTTCAAAAATGTGTTGGTTTTTCTTTTTACTGATGTTAGTTCTTTCTTTCCCTTTGTTTTTATGGGTTTTTACATCTTAAATTATTTTACTGTAATTTTAGTATGGTCTCAGGCTACCACCCTTAGCCATCGTTTATGTTTGTATGGATGAGAGTGGAAGGGATAGAATTAAAGAATTACACTTCACTTTTTGGGTTTGTCTTTAGGTAAGTTATGTGTATACACAATATCTGAAATGAAAAAGTTGGAAGGTGCTACTTTTATAATATAATATGTATAATATGTATTATATATTACTTATGTATATACAAGTAATATATATTATAAGTAATATATATTATTTATAGTAGTTATATTATTGCTAACTCATTTATGTATCCTTCATGGTAGTTTGCCTATAGTTGGTAGTTGGAATATTTGTTGAATCAAATTTATTTAAACTGTACTGGCTAATACATTTCTGAGTTTTTTACTTACCTCAGTTTTTTTTCTTTTTCACTTAACTATGGTCTCTCAGATTTAATAAACTAAAAAATACACTGTATATACAAAATTGATGTAACTTCCTTGACTCTTTCCTTTGTTCTGTCAGCTCTACAGATTGGTTAAACAGTTCTTTCACAGCTCTCAATAATGAAGGTTTCTTTCTTTTTTTTTTTTTTTTTACAATGCCTGTCTCCTTTAAGTCGAGTTTTTGTGATCTATACTGTATTATATGGCACATCAACTTAAGTTATTCTTGTAGAACCATACACTATGCTAAATTTAAGCCTATACTGTATATTTGTCGACTGTTTCTCATTTGTGATATTTGTTCATTTTTTACTTACTTATTTTTAATTTAGGTAAATGGGCAATGTGCTGGCCACACAGCTATGCAAGCTGCTAGTCAAAATGGACATGTTGATATTTTGAAGTTACTTTTGAAGCAAAATGTGGATGTAGAAGCAGAGGTAACTAAACTAAGCTTGAAAAACATCTTAAGTAAAAATTCATGCTCTGGAAATGATTTATCATTATTGTTGTTGTTGTTAGTGTTGCAGTGCTGGGGATTGAACTGCAGGTCCTTGTGGATGCTAAGCAAACATTCTACCACTGAACTATGTCCCCTGCCCTTTAGAAATAATTCTGTATGAGTTTGGTTTTATTCTTGAAATTTAAAATTACCTGATGCTTTTCTTATTGAAAATGAAAATTTGATAAAAGACAGCATAAAGCATTTCTTGTTTTTTCTATGTTCCCTCAATATTTTAAGGCTAGTCAGGAGAAGGTAGGTTTTGAGTTTCCTGCCACAGTGGAAGAACCACTATGCTGTTGGGAGCATAGTAGGGCTCACCTAAAAGTTAAGCTTGGAATGTTGAAGGAAGGGTACCATACATACTCTGCATCAAAGTCTTTCCTGGTCTCTTTGACACTCAGAAGCTTTTCTTGGTTTTTCTTCTTTTTTTTAAATCTTAACTTAATTTGCATTTGTTAGGTCTTATTTTTTCTTGACCTTAATGTGGGTCTTTGAAGAGTTCACAGTACATGCTTATCACTCTGCATATACTTACATATAAATGTAATGTATATATGTATGTATATATTTAACTTGACTTAGTGTTTATATATATACACGTGTGTACTGAGGTTTGAACTCAGGGCCTACACCTTGAGCCACTCCACCAGCCCTTTTTAATGATGAGTTTTTTTGAGGTAGGATCTTGCAAACTATTTGCCCCAGCTGGCTTTAAACCTCAATCCTCCTGATCTCTGCCTCCTGAGTAGCTAGGATTACAGGTTTGAGCCACTGGTGCCTGGCTAAAACATATTCTTATAAAAGGGAAATAAATATTTCTTGTTGTCACTGGAGTTTCAATTTGGAATCTGTAAATGTGGTTTGAAGGGTGGTTTGCCTCATTACTAAAAATATATTAGGATTGTATTTACTTTAGTCCTAGTGCTAGATTACTTAGTATAAATCAGAATCTAGCAAATTTGGACTAGGCAGGATGTTGCAATTTGTCCAAAAGGCTCTCCTGTCTGGGGAGTTTGAAGACTTGAATTGATGAGGATTAAGTTGGCAGGCCAGACTTTTTTTTTTTTTTTGTTACTATTTAAGAAATGTTAAGACACATATTTTAAAAGGAAGTCCTTTTTTTTGACTGTACGGTGGTTTGAACTCAGGGCCTCATGCTTGCTAGACAGTCTTTCTATCACTTCAGCCACTACCCTAGCCCTTTTTATTTTTTCATTCCAGGTTTATTTTCTGATTCACCTTCAGATTCTGTTTTCCTTAGCAGGTTACCTACCTTCACTGCAGTAAAAAATAAATAAGTGTAAGGTACTGCTGAATAAAGACCACTCCACGTGTGGAAAAGAAAGGTTTATTGGTCCAGGCCACAGGGCCGTCACTCTTTTTGGGTTCAGAATGAGGTGGCTTGGCTGAAAATGGGTAGTGGGCTTTATAGGAGGGGCCAAGCCATGGGGGAGGGAGAGAGTCTCTGGTCTCTGATTATCTGCGATCACCAGATAGAATAGGTCGACATGCCTGGCTAGTTGAGTAACTGGAAGTTCCTGAGTTGTTTTGGAAGCTGAGAAACAATCAGGCGGGGAGAAACAAGTGGTCCTAAATCAGGGGGTCTGGTTTCGGTGCTAGCCTTGGGACCTTCCACCTGCCCCAAAAATGCGAGGGACCTAACAGTAAGTAGGGGCGAGTGTGGTGGTATACATCTGTAATTCCAGCTATTGAGGAGGAGATAGAAGGATCAGGCTCTGAGGTGAATGGTACAAAGTGAGTGATAAACCCTTTCTTTAAAAACAAACTGAAGGTAAAAGGACTTGGGGCGTGGCTCAAGTGGTAGAGCATTTGCTAGCAAGTATGAGGCTCTGAGTTCAACCCCTGCCCCCAGCACCAATAAAAAAACGAGTTAAGTAAGCTCTGATGCTCTCATATTTTTTCCTTGCAGGAATAGGAATCAAATCCAGGCTCTTGCACATGCTAGGCAAGTGTTGTACCTCTGAGCTACATCCCCAGGCACTTACTCTTACATAGTTCTAAAACAATGATTGCAAGTGAAAATGCAGATCCTTTCTCCCATAATTAGCCCTTTTTTTGTTGGGCATTTTTGAGATAGGGTCTCTTGAACTGTTTGCCTGGGCTGGCTTCAAACCTTGATCCTTGTAATCTCTGCTTCCTAAGTAGTTGGGATTATAGGCATGAGCTACCAGAGCCCTATTAAAGGGAAGTCTTTTCTAGTTTTGTGTTAATTATTTTTCCCGTTCTATACTTGTATGTACTTTGAGCTGTTGGACAGCTTCTAAAGAGCCTATGGTATCTCAGTGGTAAATAATTCATCTTTGATGTTGGACTTTTCTATTACCCAGAAATTAGCATCTTAGACATCTAGGAACCATATGATAGTTTTGTAACTAATGTTTTTAATGAATGAGATACATAACTTGATTTTTCTTTTGCAATAGTAATTTTTAAATTGCATCTTTCTTAGTTGTGAATTTAGGAACTCATATGTATGTTAAAAAGTTAGTATGATTATGCCAAAAAGACATCTTAATTTTACATTTTGTAAATGGAAGACAATTTTGTTATTGTTTTAATTGGGTTTGAGGGAATGGAGTAAAATTTGCTGACTGAATACCTCACTTTTTTATTTAATGAATCCAGAAACTACAATAGTAACACTACTGAAATATCAAGGCCCTTCTATTATAAATAGTAAGGAAAGAGACTGAAAAGCCTTTTTTTTTTCTTGGCAATTCTGGAGTCTGAACTCAGGGCTTTGAGCTTGCTGAGCAGGCACTCTACTGCTTGAGCTACATCTTCAGCCCTGCCTGTTTTTAAAAGGCCTGATTTTTGACTTTATTCACTAAAACTGGCAACATGAGACTACCCATATGTTTGTGTATGTAGAGATTTTTGTTCACATGAGTAGCTCTGCAGAATGGGATATACCCATGAAGTTTGGAATAAAGTTGGTAGTGTTTTTCATGAGTAGATTTTTCTCTTTTTTCCCTACTTAATTGAATTCAAATGTAAAGCAAATGGTTAGTTGATACTATAAACACAGAAGATTGAAGATGAAGAGAGCCTCAGTAGGCCAGATGTTTGTTAAATAACTTGTTATTTAGAGTACAAAGTCTGTTAACTAGAACAGTATGACTCAAAAAGAATTTTGCCATGTTCCTCATTTATATTTCAATTTTCTCCATTTTCTGTTTTAAACCATTGTACAGAATAGTAATCATCAAGAAAGGATGCAGGGTGTGGGGAGAAGGAGTCTTCTACATTATTGGTGGAAATGTAAATTAGTGTGACCACTATGGAAATCAGTGTGGAGGTTAAAAAACTAAAAATAGAACTGCCACATGATCTTGCTGTAGTGCTCCTGGGTATAAATCTAAAGGAATGAAGGTGTGCCTATAATAGAGATACCTGTACACCCATTCTTATAGCAACATTATCCATGATAGCCCAGCTATGGACACCTACCAGCATAGGTTAAAGAAAATGTGGTACATATTTATAATGAAAGAAAAATGAAATTCTGCCATTTGCAGGAGAATGGGTAGAACTGGAAATCATTATGTTAAATAAAATAAGCTAGACTCATACAAATATTGCATGTTTTCTCTCGTGAAATCTAGGACTTTAAAAAAAAAACAAAGAATGACACTAATGTAAAATGGCAGAACTGTTTAGGGAGAGGAGCCAGGGGTGAATATGATTAAAGTACTTTATACGAATGTATGAAAATAGAATAAGGACATTCACTGAAGATTGTTTAAAAAGGAAGGAAGAGAGGAATAAGAAAGAATAGTAGAGGGGATGAATTTGATTATAGAGTGCATTATATGCATGTATTGAAACACCACAAGGGAATCCCTTTGTACAATTAATATATGGTAATAAAAAAGAAAAAAAACCCATTGTAAACATATGTAGTTTGTCTAAGTAGTGTGAAAAGAGGGATGTTTACATGACAGGTTAACTCAGTTGTTAAAGGAAAAATTGCACTTAAAAATTGAATTAAAATATAACTACAGCTTATGGCCCAACATTGACATAAAAATTCATCAGTTTTATTATTTTTAGGATATAAAAATTAACATTGTCTATTAAACAACAGTATAGTGCTGGTGGAGTGGCTCAAATGGTAGAGCACCTGCTTAGCAAGTATGAGGCCCTGAGTTCAAACTCCGATACAATCAATCAATCAGTCAATCAAATAAATAAATAAATTGATAGATAAATAAATAAAACAGCAATATAGTTGTTGGGAGCCTTTTTTCCCATCTGAGGACTTTTGGAAATGCCTGGAGATGTGTTTGATTGTTATACTGTTTGACTAAAGAGGGGCTTATACTGACATCTATTGAGTAGAAGGTAAGAATACTACTAAATACCCTAAAGTGGACAGGACAGCTCTCACAATTACTTGGCCTAAAATGTCAACACTGTTGAAGTTAGAAAAATAGCTATTTTGCCAATGCACTTAAATTTGTGATTCATCATTTGCCAGCTCTTTAAATGATTTGTTTTTATTAATCTTTTTATTTTTGGAAATTTTAAACATTTACTAAAGTAGAGAGCATAGTATAATGAATCCAGTACCCTTCACTCCACTTCAATGATTATTCATGACCTGTTATATTTGTACCCTTTACTTCCCATTCCCTGCATTGAATTATTTTGAAGTAGATCCAAATATCATATTATAATGTTAGTAAACACTTTAGTATGTATTCTAAAAGATAAGGGCTCTTTAAAAATTTTATTATACTTTTTTATCACACCTAAAATGATAATAGGTTGTCTTTTAAAAATCCAGAATTTTTAGTAAAAATTTGGGGTTGGTTGAATAGCTCATTCTGTAACCTTTTTTCCATCTGCATTAGGAAGTAGACTCAAAATGATATGGATCAGAGGTCTTCAAACTGTAACCAGAAGGCCAAATCCAGGCCTCCTCTGTGTCTGTAATGTATTATTGGAGAACAGTACACCCATTTACTTACATACTGTCTGACTGCTTTTCTGCAACACCTGCAGATTTAAGTCATTGTATAGTTTGATAAGAGACTATATGGCCTGCAGAACCTAAAAATACTCTCTGGCTTTTCACAGAAAAGTCTGCTAACTTCATGCATAGATGACTATTGCAGATTTTTCAGTTGATTTAAGATGTTATTGAACTAAATTATGCAGAATACCTGAGATCACATTTTTCCCTTATTTCTTTTTCTTAGGGAGAACTCAGCTATTTTGTAGAGTTGGTTGTCTCCAGGTATAACCTACTGAATACAGTAGAATTACATTTTCTTTCCTCCTTAATATATAAGTCAAGGCATTGAAGATTGTGAGAGCTTAGGTATGTGGCTATAGGTGAGCTAATTTTTGGATCTACCAGGGACTCAGTATTTTTTTCTTGCTGATGAAGTATAATAGTAAAGGTATAGAAGTTTAGATGGATGACTGCTTTCTTTTTTCTTTGGCAGTATTGGAGTTTGAACTCAGGGCCTCATACTTGCTGAACAGAACCTCTTCCGCTGAACCACATCCCCAGGATGACCACTTCAGAAACATATGCCCTTTACAGTGTTTTCAAACAGTGCCAAATATGCCTAAATTATCAGGAAACATGGGATGATTTTATCATTTAAATTTAATGAAAACTACTTTGAGTGGAGAGAATTGGTAGGAGAGAGCAATACTAGACTTTGTCATATAATACAAGTTTTAATGGTATTTTTGCTGTTAGAATGGTACTGGATAGAAGTTTAATTGGTAAAAGATTCAGTTTCCCCAGTAATTTAAGGGGTTGGAATATGGAATAAGGATATAAGTAAGGCACCATTTAGAGTATATGACACCCTAGGAATTTAAGGTGTTGGTTTTACCCGTGTTTGTTCTTATTAAACACTTCTTTCCAACTGGTGGAAGTGAACAGTACAGTTTCAAGAAACATACTTCTTCTGTTTGATTCGGCTTACCTCATTAATGAAAATAAAACAGTAGAATTTTTTTCTAACTGTTAAAATGAAAAGGAAAGGGCAAGTGGGCTTCAAGATTGTTCACTATAAAGGGATTCTTTTGTGAAATACAAATCAATACTCAAAATAATAACCACCAAAATGGCTATAGGTATACATAATTCTCAGGACGGCAGGTGCTGTTAGAGGCCTTCTCATCCATATTGGGTGTGACTCAGTGGTAGAGGGCTTGCCTAGTAAGCAAGAGGTCCCAAGTTAAAACCCTAATGCCACCACCCCCCATCCAAAAAAATGATGCTGTTAAAAATATGGAGTGTCAAACTAAAAAATAGGAGGGAGAGAGAGAAGTGTGTCACATGAGAGGAAGCAAGATACCCTGAAGGAAGCCAGGCTTGCTCTTTTATAGTTAACCTAAACTTACTCTCTTGAGAATTAACCCTCTGCTGTGAAATCTGAACTAATCCCTTCAGCAGGGTGGTGCCCATGACCTATCACCTTCCATTAGGCCCCCACCTCTCAATACTTCATGTTGGGGACCAGTCTAGCATGGTGAACCTTTGGGGGACAAACCACAAGCAGTCAAATTCTCAGTAGATTTGAAAAGATAAACATGATACAAAATATTTTCTCTGACCACAATGGGATGAAGTTAGAAATCAAAAACAGAAGGAAAACAGAAGTAAATCTATAAAGAGGTTTGTTTTTATATAGTAAAGAGAGACTTTGAGGTGTTTGAGACGTAAAATTTGTGTTTTACAGAGTTCTGTCTTTGGTGTGAAAAATTGTTTAGGTTAAGAATGAAGTAAAGACAGGGTGAGCTATGGTAACATTTCAGGAAGCCTAAATTGGTGGAAGAGTTGGAGAAGGGGGAATAGGTTTGAGCATTGTTTGAAGAGTAAAAGCTATGGACTTTGGTGAAGCATACAGATATTCATAGAGTGGAACTAGATGAGTATGACTTATGGTCTGTGGTTCCATCAGCTTATACAGGGGAGACTGGAACAAGAGCAGATTTTGGAGGGTTAAGAGGAGAGAAAAGGGGGTAGGAGAGTAGAAATCAGTTTTATATTTAATTTGAGGCTCCTTTACAAATGGTTTGATAGCACCTTGTAGAAGTGGGTTATAACCTTCTCTATTGAAATTCACATTTGTTATTAGTTGCAGAGACTGGTCATGTGGTAGGTTTATTTGGATTATTTAAAGTCAGATTCAGAAGAAAGCAACAAAAAATTAAGATTGTGGCACAACCATGTGGTTTTCTAGTTTAGAAGAGAAACCTAGAAATAATTTTATTGTATTCATATATATATATATATATATGTATATATATATATTCCATAATCTTTAATTTTTTAAAAATGTTTTTCCTTTTGACATACATACATAGTGCAGTATCAAGTTTTTTAATGTTTGTTTTACATAACTAAACTGGTGATGGAACCTGCATAAAAGTGTTTCAGTTAGTGGTTTTCTAACAACTGTATATATGATGTTCTTTATAAACAGTTCCTATTTTTATTCAGTCAGTAATCTTGAATTGGTGTTTTATTATAGTTTTGGGTTTTGTCTTTTTTTTTTTTTTTTCCTTATCCTCTCCTCTCCCCTCCCCTCTTCTGTCCTCTCCCCCTCCCTCCCTGCCTCCCTCCCTCCTTTCCTTCCTTCCTTCCCCTCTGTTCTGTTGTCTCTCTTATAAACTCATCTCTTCTCTTCCTCTTCCTCATCTTCTCTTCTTAACTCTTCTCTTTGGCAGGGTCTCACTGTGTAGCCCAGGCTAGCCTTGAAACTCCTGCAAGTGCTGGGACAGACATATGCTACCATGCCCATCTCTATTTTTTTTCTTAGCTATTCACTAATTCAGATTTAAATGCTAACATTTAGGATAAAGATGGAGATAGAGCAGTGCACCACGCAGCTTTTGGAGATGAAGGTGCTGTTATAGAAGTATTACACCGAGGCAGTGCTGATTTGAATGCTCGCAACAAGCGCCGACAGACGCCACTTCATATTGCTGTCAATAAAGGTCATCTTCAAGTTGTGAAGACTTTATTGGACTTTGGTTGTCATCCCAGTCTCCAGGTAAGGTTTTTAAGGGAACATACTGAACAGGTATTGCTGGGATCCTGTTTAAAGGGAAGCACTAAATTCTGTGATAAGCATTCCTTTGTGAGGTTTTTTTGGGGGCAGGAGAGTGGGGAGGGTCTGAACAGTCATAGTAAAGGATACCAAAGGTATAGGATGTTATAAAATTGGCAGCTATTTTTCTTAGAAAAGCCCTTTTAAAGAAAATGTCAACAGATTGGGTTTAGATTGAAGGGTAGAAGTGAGGGCTTCTTACAAAAATATCAGCTTATGAATTTACTTGATTTAATTTTATTGATTGTGACAATGAATTTCAGTAGCTTAAAGAATAGGGTGAGCCTGGGATATGTAGTGTGTTCCAGGTCAGCCTGACATGAGACCTTGTCTCCAAAAAAAAGAAAATGAAGTATTAAATAAAAATGGTCCTTGAAACATCATTTAGATATATAATACCTTATTTAAATTGGAAACTCAGTAGTGATTAAAATAAAAAGGTGAGGATCATTATGATATTATGATCTTAATCTGCTTGTAGTTTAGAGAATTCAGAGCAGCCAAAGAATTCATATCTTAGATAATGAAGAAGACTGAGAATAGTACGAGTGCATACTGCAGAAGCACTGAAGGAACAGGAGACTTTTCAGCTATATGGTTGTTATTAGAAAATAATGTTTCTGAATTAAAGCCATTTTGGAACTGATGGAATCTAGGATATGACCTTGTAAGTAGGTGGCAGATTGGAGGATGGAGAAGGAATCAAGGATGTTAATCTATTGAAAGAACAGAAATTTTTATCTATTGACCATTTTTGTTTGCAGTGGGAGGCAAGGCTTTGTGTTGAGAGTATGAGTTGAGGTTGAGGTAGACAAGGGTAATTGAAAACAGTGTTAATGATTTGGACTAGCTACTGTGGGGACCAGAAGGCAGAACAGACCAGGGGCCTGTGGAAGGGTATTCCAGTCATATTAAGAGCTCATCTCAAGTTGAACACTACACATTTTTAGTGCTATCAGGTACAGAAGGATAGAAAATAGATGGTTGGGTTGAACTTGGGTTAGGAATTCCTTATATGGAGGGATGAAGATATACCTGTGATTGGCAAACTTTTTCAGTAAAGGGCCGGACAATGTAGGTTTTCATGTATTTTCTATCACAACTACATAGCTTTGGCAGTATAGAATGAAGTAGTCATAGGTGATACATAAATGAATGAGTATGGCAGTGTTCCAGTAAAATGTAATTTATAAAAATAGGTGACAAGCAGAATTTGGCAACTGTGATATATTGCCAAAAGGATAGATGGTATATGGCATGACTGAGAATTTGTGAAGCTATGAGTGAGGTCTAAATTATTCATTTATGCAGATGACTGGTAATGAATGACTAATAATTAACTTATTACTGAATCAATAGCTTGAAAAAAATAGTTTGAGACTATTAAGTTTTTGTTTACTTTGAGCTAAGTAGCCGTTTACCTGCCCTTTGAAAACACTTAGGCTGTTGGCTCTCATCTGTGGTTGCTTAATATATTCATCTGGGGAAGTCTGAAAAACTACTGAAGCTTGCCTGATATCTCCAGAGATTAAGTTGGTCTGCAGAACAGCCTAAGTATCAAGAATTTTATGAGCCCCCCCCCCAGTGGATTCTAATGTGTAGCTAAGGTTGAAAACCACTGAATTTGAATTCATTGTCCTAGGGCCTGAGAATGACAGAGATTTTGGTGCAGAATTTGGGGTATAATAATTAATGGTATGACTTCATTTACTTTAAAGCATCTGTTGTTTCTTGCCTGCAGTTTTTTTTTTCTTTTTTTTTTTTTGTGGTACTGGGGTTTGAACTCAGGGCTTTGTGCTTGTTAGCTTGAGCCACTCCACCAGCCCTCTTGCTTGCATTTTTGTATTTAACACAGAACATGATCACTTATTGACAGTTATTGGATATGGCCTCTTTTACTTTGTTTAGTAGTTCTGTGTAAGCATTGCTGTTAGCTGTGATGGTTAATTGAAGGAGGAGTAATGAAAGTCTCTTTAAATTTAAAAAAACAAAAAGGATTCTGAAGGTGATACCCCTCTTCATGATGCTATAAGTAAGAAACGTGATGATATTCTGGCAGTTCTGTTGGAAGCTGGAGCAGATGTTACCATTACAAACAACAATGGATTCAATGCTCTCCATCATGCTGCACTGAGAGGAAACCCCAGGTAAAAGTGCTGTCTCTTGGTACTTTAGGTGCGCTTTGAAAACACCTTACTGATGGCTCTCTTCCTGATATTGATAATGAAATCACTTGAGTTAATCTTCATATCTTAAATCATTTTAAAGGTCTGGAGATTATGCCATCATTCTGTAGACTCATTTTATATGATTTTTTTGTTTGTTAAATTAACACAAATATTATGAAGTTATTATTATATATTAAATATAGGTATAAAATATCAGGAATACTGGCTTCTATCTAAAATTTTAATTAAAATAAATTCCATTGTAAGATTTTTGTTTCTTCAAGATCATTCTTAGGGTATCTTCTAATCCCATGTTACCATTTGCATTGTAATTGTTTTTTTAACTTGTGGCTAAATATAAAGTTACCCAATTCCTCACCAATAATGTAGTTACTTAACATAAACTTCCAGAGTTAGGTGAACCCTAGTCACTGTTACAGTAATAGTTTTGAAAAAAATGGTTTGGTGTATAAAGACTGCTTTAGGAGAGGAGAGTTGTATTATTCGTAAAGGATCTGCAAAGTTCCCAGAACAGGAAAATGTTTAGCTTTGTTTAATGTTAAGATTTTTATGAACTTACTTTTGGGAATAATTTTAACCTTATGATATATTTGAGGAAGTTCTGTCTTAGGTGTCTTCTCTTTATAGTTCAACCAAGTCTACATACCTTGACAGAGGAAATTTTCACTTTGATGTTTATTTTGATCGTTATATCTGTCCTGAATTCTTATTCTTTGATTCCTTATTGTATTTTTATATCATGTTTCCTTCTAACTTTCTGCTATTTTTAAAAACTTCTTAGGATCACCACTAGAGGGTGATCTCAGAAAACAAAATGATCTTATTGTTCTGGCTTGTTGGTACCCTTAACAATGTAGAAGGAAATATAATGTAACATGAAATGATACTAATATCCTAGTAATAATAATAGTATCTAAATATTTTAGATCATGTCTTGAATTTTTTTCAATTACAAATATTTAAATACTCCATACATTGTGCATTGTGAAGGAGACAGAGTAGTATTATGTATTTTCTGCCCTGCAAATAGAAGATGATGGTGATGATAGCACTCGCCACTTGATAACCCTTTGTGTATATTATCTCACTTAATCCTTTCAAACAGCCTTTTGTTTGCTTCTGTGCTAAGAATTAAACCTGGGTCTGTGTACCTGCTAGACAAACACTTAGCCGTCGGGCTATATCCCAGACCTTTCAACAGCTTTTGAGGCAGGTATTAAGACCCTCATTTTATAGGTGAAGAATATGAGGCTTATAAGAGATGAATTTACTTATCTGATTAGAGGAGCAACTGAATTTTAGCAAGTTCTGTGTGCCTAGATTCATAGCTCTTAACTACTTTATATTGCTATTCATGTGTTATGGTCTATATGGGAGGCAAGACACATGAACAGTGAGTGATTTATCTGAGCATTAGCAGTGAGTGATTTGGCTGAGAAAGATGTATCAGTGCATTGTTCCCATTGCTGCCTCATTGTTTACACATGTCTTTGACTGCTTTTTCACTCATGTTGAATCCAATTAGTTCTAAAATTCTGCTTATTTTAATATTTCCAGTCCATTCCATTCTTTCCCTTCCCATTGTTGCTGACCTAATTAAGTACTCACCATTTTTACCTAGACTATTACAGTATCTTTCTAATCGCTCTGATTTAACTTTCATACGGTTATTTTTCTAAATGTACAAATCTAATGGCTCCCCTGTTCTGTTCCAAAACCTTCAGTTGTTTCTTGTTGCACATAGTAAAATGCCACTTTGGTGTGGCATTGGAGCCCTTTTCCCTCCCCTCTCCTTCTGTCACCTCCCTTTTCTTCCCTTCCCTCCCCTTCCTTTTCCTTCTTTCGACAGGGACTCAGGCTTTGAACACAGGATCCTCTGGCCTTAGCCTACCAAATACTGAGACTATAGGTGTGTACCACCACGCCCGGCTCAAAGCCCATTTGGATTTGTCCTGAGCCTTTCTTTCTAACTTTTACCTATCACTAATTAAAATCTCTCTGCATGCCTTGCCCTTCAGCTACCATTATACTGCTCTCCTTCCCTAAAATCTGCTTTCTTCCTCTAATTTTTTGAACATTGTCATTCACAGGATGCTCTGTCCCCTACTTTATCTTCACTATCTTTCTTCGAAAGCCTCCTGTGTCTCATTACTGGAATTATTTCCTGTTTGCTGTGTTTCCCCTTGTTCTGTGTACTTTGTATTGCCTGTACTAGAATCTGCTTAATGCTGTCTTGTTAGCATGTGCATTACTGTTTTTCTTTTCATCATGGGTACCTTTCACAATGCTCTGAATATAGTAAGCACTCAAATGTTAGTCTAAATTTGACAGTAAGATCAAGATTTCACAAGCTATTATTTGATTAATTACAGAATGAATTCAATGGAGGAAACTATGTTAGGAGTTCTAATAGAACAATTACTCAGATTAGAATGGTCTGTGATTGACTTAAGGAGTTTATGTTACATAAATCATAAAGTTTAAGATAAACTGGAAGGTGAGGGGTTTAGGAAGCAACATCTTTTAAATATTTTGAATTATTTCATTTTAATTAGGAGTAGACATAGTATAGTCAATAATACTAAATCTATATAGGAGGAGAGAATTTTCTGCTTCTGTTTAACTCTTGAGGAGTCCTCAGAAAATGTGTGACTTCTTCAACCAGGTAATTTGTGTCAGGTGACAGTTTGAAAAAAGGAAAAAAAAATCCACTTTTATTGTACAACAAAGTTGTGTTTTAGTTAAAGGTACTCAACTTTTTTTTTCTTCCTAATACATTTTAGGCAGTTGTGACTGCAGGTTGGCAGATAAAGCATGATTTAATTGAACATTAAAGAGTGTCAAAAGATGATACAATTTATATATAAATCATAATTGCAAGTAGAGATGTTCTGAGTTTTTTCATGTCAAATTTTTTTATCCTTTAAAGTTGACTTTTCTTTCTTATACTGAACTAACCACTAGTATCAAAAGACTGAAGAACCATTTTTAATGTACTCAGAATTAAAAAAAAGACAAAACAAGAACACAGTAAACCTCTTTAGCTTATGCTCTTGTTTTAGAAAATCAGATATGGCACATTATTATTTCCAGAACCTAATGAATTTACCAGTTTGGATAAAAAATCAAATATGATTAACAAATATGATAATACTTTTTCCTTATAACATTTTATAGTTTTATATTTTAGTGAATTTACCTTGAATTGTGTCATTTCAGCTTGTTCTTTGTTTTATGCTGCAGTTATACTAACTTAATATACTTGGCTTCACTGTTAGACTTTCTGTAGAGTCCATTTTAATTGTAATTGATTATATTTAGTTAGTATGATCTTAGCTATTTTGGGGTTTTTCTTTTTATTAGAGTGTGTATGTGTGTATTCTACAGTAAATTACTTCCAATTGTTACTCTAACCTAGCACCAGGTTATACTTGTATTTGCTTAAAATTATTTTCATTTACTATGATTAAAAATGTTGGAAAATATTTCTAAAATTTGCATGTACATATGTATTTTTGTGGAATTTAAGTTTCATTCTATTCAGTGGTTTTACTTTTAGTTAGCAATAATAATTTTCCAGCAATGATTCAACAACACGATAGAGTTAATAATTACTCGGTGTGCTTTTCTGAAAGAAAAGTCAGTATCCTGGTCCTCAAAATATGTCCAGATGTCCTATATTTTTGAAGAATGTACTTGGAAATGCAGATTTCAAAGGTTCAAATCAATATAGATTCTAGATCTCAAAGCTGATGTTTCCTCATCTATGACAGTAACTGAAATAAAGACATTAAGAGAAAAAATTATTTGTTATACAGGAATTTGTTTTCTTTTAGAATATAAGTTGTGAAATATTGTATACTTTGGTCATGCTTTATAAAGTTTGCAGCATTTTAAAGTAGCTGCTACAACATGTTTTAATACAGTAAGGTTGTTTTTGGGGGGTGGGGAGAGGGAATTCTAGAACTTTGGACTTGGTAGGCTGAAGCTCTTCTGCCTGAGCCATGCATCCAACCCTTTTTGCTCTGGTTATTTTTGAAATAGGGTGTCACTTTTTGCCTAGCCTGGGCTGCAAGCCTCTTATTATAAGCTTACTGTCTTAGCTGGGATGACAGACATGCACCACCACACCCAGCTATTGACTGAGATAGGATTTTGTGAATTTTTTACCTGGCCTTGAATCTTTCATCCGCCCAAGTTGTTAGGACTAGAAGTGAGCCACTGGTACGCAGCTTTTTTTCTGTTTTTAAGAGATTTTAACTAAGAATAATACCTTTGGGCTGGTGGAGTGGCTCAAGTGGTAGAGTGCCTACCTCACAAGTGCGAAGCCCTAAGTTCAAACCCCATTACTACCAAAAGAACAAAAAAATCACAGAAGAATACTCTGTATGTATTCTGGTATGGTGTTTATTTACTTGTTTGGTGGTATTAGGGATCAAACCCAAGGTCTTGTACATGCTAAGCAAGGGCTTTACCACTGAACTATCCTCAGTCTAAAATTTGATGTTCATAGAGATGTTTTCCCCTAGAGTTTAGCCATATTGTCTGACCTCTTTTCTATACAGGTAAAATTTCAAATTTAAATCAACAGCAGGAAATTATTTCTGCTGATAAAAATAAAAACTCAATTTCCTCAGGTAAGCATGAACAAGCTTGTTACTTAGGTACTTTCTATGAGGATATTGCATTTTTAGCTGTCTTTAAGTTTTTAGATTGTCTCACAGTCATAAAAATAAATTAGGTAGCAGTATTCTTTACAACACTGGCAAAAAAATAATTGAGAGGTATTTGGTGGGTAGTAATAACAATATAAAATCATTTTATACATCATTATGGTTTTTCTCTAAAATAAATTGAATGTTAAAAGTAATAATAAAATATGAGTGGACCATGCAATGTGATATACTTATATATTCCAGGCATTTTATTAATTAATTAATTAATTTATTTATTTAGTCGGCACTGGTGTTTGAACTTGGCCTCATGCTTGCTAGGCAGGCGCTCTTACTTCTTGAGCCACTCCACCAGCCAACAGGCATTTTTTATTTACTTGTTTCTTTATTCCCACAAATTCATGTGGTAATATTACTGAATATGTGAGCAACTCAGTTTGAAATATGGTCTGGTTAGTGAGACTGTTGAATATAGGAAGTTTTGATAATCTAGACCCCACTTTGGTATTCTGTATTTTTCTTTCTTTATTATTTTGAACATGCTGAGTGCTGTGCAAAAAAAAGAAAGATTATTAAATGGTAGCATACTTAAAGTATGTCTATTTTCTCTGTTGTGTGCTCATGCATCTCCTCTCAAACATCATGTACATATTATATATGTGTACTTACTGGGCTGGCTGATATATAATTAATATGAACATGAACGCCTGTTTGCAGTGATGAGATTTTTATACACACACACACACACACACACACACACACACACACACACACACACAACCCCCCCCCCCCTTTTGCCTGGTTTTTCACTTTGAAATAGAGGAGTGATCAGGACTTGAACATTTGGGTTTTTAAACTACTGCCAGTAACCTTTATTAATTGCTGAACTGTTTTTCTCTGTTTATTAAAGAACATTAAATTATCTAGTTTTATTGTAGTTACTAGGAAAATTGGGTGGATGTTGGATCACTTTCTGCTTTTTGTTTCTCTACACTGAGAGACTTACATGTAAATTTTTTGTAAAGGACAAAGAAAACTGTAGAGAGTAACAGAATGTTATATTAGTGGAGAACTTCATTTTACAACAAAGACAGGAATGGAGAAAAAAGTGGTGAGTAAAAGTAGTGATGCTTAGCATTTTGAGCAGTAAAAACCTTTGGTTCAGAGACAGAGTAGATGTTTACTTTAAGTCTCTCCCCATGATAGTCCATAGTGTTATCTCCTTTTTTCACTTTTCGTGCTAACATTCAGTTGAATAGCGGTAAAATCAAATGCTAATACTGTGGGAGGTATTTACTCAGCCTTTCAAGAGTGTTGCTTTTATATATTGTTACAGTTTTCCTTATTTTAAAATGTGCACATACATGTGAACCACATTACAGTGTCCCATTTCCATCAAATTTTTGGGTGGGCTTTAGGTGAATTTCCCAGATATTTCTTCCTTTGAAGGAAGTTGATTTTTATTACGAAATATACTCTACATTTCATTATTATTTTCTGAAGAATAAGTTTAATACCGAGACTATAAGTAAATAAAACCATTTTATTTGAAATCCTTAAGTCATCCATATGTATTTTCATAAAGCTTTTTATAAACATCTTTAGCCACTGTAGTTCTTCCAAATAAAAGTAACAGTAGAAAGTTATGTGATTTTAATTGCAATCTGAAGAGCTTAAGTAAATCTAAACTAGCTTGCATGTAATGGTGCTCCTGTAGTGATCAATGCATAGCTACAGCTGGTTGAAGGGGACCAAATCCATTGAAGAGGCGATTTGGTTCCATTTTACCAGCTTTAGCACAGCATTGCAGTGCTGCTAGTTTGGAATCCAAGATAGTTAAACGCATTTCCTTAAATTGTAAAAGTACTTCTAGAGGTATTAAAAATTCTTGTATCAGTACTTTAGTCACTCAGTGTAAAATTTCAATTTTGAAGGCACTCTTCCTTCTATTTCCTACTCTTATAAGTTCAGAAATTTTTTTTCCTTTAATGTTAATGCATTAAGGAATTATCAGTGTACATACTTGTTTTCAACATCTTTGCTTAATTCTTAAATGTTAACAACAACCTTTTCTAAACCCAATAGCATTTTAAAAGAACAAACAGACCTGGATATTTTTCAGAGATTATTTAAGTAGTTAACTAAAAGTTGGAGAAGAGCAATGTTAGCCACACATTTCTGCTACTGTTGCTTCTTTTGTATTATAGCTGAGGGCTGATAACAAGTTGCTGACAGGGATGGAGGAATATGAGTGGCCTTAGGAAAATACCTCTACCCTTTGGTTTACAAATAGCTCACACGTGTATTCGGTGTATTGCTTGGACATGTGTTGAGAGGAACTACCATGTATGCTAGATTATTTTTCTTTGTTTTTGCTGTAGGTTTACCAGTCCTTTTAAAAGTGTTTTTTTCCATGACTGAATTCTCTTTTTGTGTTTAGATTGCCTAGTTACATCTCATTAGTAGCTTAATACACTGACTTGTGGTTAACCATATTCTGTGAATTTTGAGTATTAAAAATCTACCACAGACTACATTAAATATCAGTCCCTTAGTTTTTGTTATAATGTGGTTTTACTGTTGGTTTCAATTTTGGGGGATGGATATCTTCTCAAAAATACTTGCATAAAATCCAAGTCTAATAAATTATAGTTTGTATGTAAAGTAAGAGCTCTCAGTAAAACACAAAAAGTAAGATATTCTGTATAGTTACTGTTTTGAACTGAACTGGGAGGTCAACACTAATATGGGCAATATGCAAACAATTCTTATATTAAGTATATTCTGCATCTGTTGGTTGGTAAGTGTCATGCTGCTGATAAATTAATGTAACTACCATTTTTTCCATCATTTATTCTAATGGAAGTGAAACAGGTGTTAAATTGCCTCAACTTAAGTGCTGAAGATAGCAGTACCACTGCTTCTATTTTTACTAGTTATATGGGAGTCATTTAGCAGATCCAGTTGCTCAAGTGTGCTTTTGGATGGCAGCTAAGTTTCATATACTGGCCATATCGGGGCAGGGAGAGGCCATGGGAAAAAATAGTACAGCATTTGATAATGTCAGCATCTGTTATCCCTGTCAGGGAGACAGTTGAAATGTTTGAGTTACACCAGTGTCAGCAGATGCCCAGAGTGTAACATGTACTCAGTTAAAAATGAACAGCTGATCTAAGTGATAGATGTGACATTTTAGAGTGTTTGAAAATATTCTTAGGTATGTTAAACTGAACTTGTAAGCATCTGAATTAATTTATAATTTTACTTTATAAAAGGATAGCCTATCATTTCATTTTCTAAGGATTACACATTCTTAATATTATAGCAAAGAAACTGAGTTGCTGGAATATTTAAAAAGAATTATTAAAACCTTTTATATCTATAAAACAACTAATACAATTGTTCATTACAAAATGTGAGTAGAATAATACCCTGAGTAATTTTATAGAGCAGCTTATACTTTTGAGGACTATATTTTTAGTTTTTGGTATTTAGGATGTGTACAGATAAACGTAACAAATGGAACATGAAGCACTGTTATTCTGCTTTGGGGATGATCAGACAGGCTATGCTTAAATAAATTAAGATTTGAACTCATTTCTTTGAAAAACATAGAATGTTAAAATTGTGCTTCTTATAATTTCCAGTAAACATGCAAGAATGTGCTACTATATGAGTAATTCTCTCATTCTTAATAATTAAATAAATGAAAATAACCCTTCTATTTAACTATATCATCAGACAGAGAATTGAATATAGGTAAACTTGTAGTCATTTCTATTCAACTTCTGACACACAAAAATAAAATATTACTATTTTTATATGTGTATAAATATTGTAGTTCAAACAGTATCTTAGTAAGAAATGAGAGTATATCAATACTAGTATCAGTTTTTTAAAACTTTATAATATAGTAGCTTAAATTAGGTACTATTTATCAGTTGTTGCTAAGAATTTTATAACTTATAAATAGGTTATATAAAATAGACCATATGAAATAAAAACATTTTGATATCTGTAACATGCTATATATAGCAGATCTATTATGTCTATAAAAACTAAATTTTAATTGCATAGTACTTATAAAATGGTTATTCTTTCTGTATAAATTAGTTCTTGACCATGTGCAGTTTTCATTTATATGCCCCTACTTCCTTTGGAAAAAGCAGATTCAAAGATAAATACAGTCCTTTAAATATTGTTGATTCCAGCATTTTGTCATTTGTCATTGTTTATTCTTATTGTTTTAATTAATTTTAAGTACTAACATAGTATTTAAAGTAGAGATTGTGTTAAAGACATGACAGACTTGAGAAGATCAGGGGCCACTTGTTTTCAATGTGCACAGTAGGATTTCACTTAAAAAGATAGTCTTTTAGAATTATGACTATTTCTGTCAAAAAAAGAAAACTTAAAAGAATGAAACTTTTGGTTTAGAAGTTCCTCTGATTATAAATATACAAATGTAAAGGATAGTTATTAAACTATGAGTGAAATCAGCTTTTATTGTATATCACTTTTCTTACCATATCATTTGGCCCTATTAATGTAATACACTTAAGATCAAATTATGGAGACAGAAAATGGGTCATATTTATGTCTCATTCTTTTGTGCTAGTAATATTATTTTCTGTGTTTGAGTGAAATTTTAATTATGTGAGTACTCAAAAATGTAAAATGTAGTGTTTAAAACATAAATGTTTAAAAGAATTCATGATAATTTGAAATCTATTTCTATAAAATTTTTCCTTCACAAAGTATAAATCTTAGAAATATTTAGTTTCTAATTATGAGTAGTGGATACTTTTTTTGGGTGAGTTAGTATTGCCAAAGGTCACATACTTGATACTAGGTTAATTTACCATCCGAAGGTCATCCACGTAGGAAGAAGCAGTGGCTTCCTTTAGCTGCAGTTTAGTTACCTCTCGGTGGCTTAGTACCTACCAAAAATACATACTTCTTTACATTCCATAGCATTATATGTTCATATGGGTACATAAAGAAGTATGTACTCTGAGTAGGTTGTTAGCTGTAAAACACAAAATATCTTATTTTCCTCTTTGTTAATAGAACTTTCAGCTTATTGATGTAGAGCAGAAATTTTTATCACAGGCTAAACTTTGTAACACATTTACCTGATCATGCCATTAATGATTCCTTGTTCTTGATGGACATAAGCCTTCCTAAACTTTGCCCTGGTTTAGGTGTTTTTGCAAGAGATTCATAAGCCAGTGGAGTTTTGCATTATATTTTAGAAATTGCTAAAATCAGCCTAGTGTTTCTTCATAGTCTTCAAAGAGTTTTTCTTCTTTATTATAGTAGTTTGCTTCTAGATCCTACAAAAGATAATAATTGTTTTAAACACCTTTACAAACCAGATACTTTATTCAAAATTGAACTGATTAAGTTGTACTTCTAGAACTGACTATATAGTTGAAACAAGGAGAAAACCCCCATTTTTTCAGTATGTGAGGGAAATGAATTTTTTTTTAAATGGTAAATTTTTCTGTAGCCTTTTTAAGGTTACAGATAAGATCTCATGATCATTTGAAATTTTTTTTGTTGTTCCTTTATCTACATCACTTCCTTACTTGAATTTTGTACTTCTGTCCTTCTGTTTGGGTTGAATACAAATTCATGTAGATGTATAAATGTCTAATTTTGGTGAGTTTAGTTCTTTTTATTTTTAAAACCTTTTTAATAATATAAAGGAAAACTATTAAGACAGTCAGCTTGTCCAAAGTCTTGCATAGAAGAACTGAAAGGTCTATGAACACCTGGATTTTAGCTTGATCATTTAGCATGAGAAAAAGTATAATTGACAAGTAGCCTTTAATTATTATGGTATGAAAGGCTTAATTTAAAAGGAAACCTCTAGGAAATTTCAGATTTGGCAAAGGAGGGAGGGGGGGAAAAGCAGGGGTAGTAGAATTTTTGCAGCTTGTGGTAGAATACTAGCACAACTCGTAGGGAGCAAATCAGAGCATCACAGCAGCCAGCCCAGTTCCTACAGCAGTCCATAATACAGCATTGGAATGACACCATGCACTTTCTGATTTATTTTTATGGCTAATTAATGTTAAGCATAAAAAGTATTTTGTAATCTGCCAAATTTCTTGGTTGACCAAATCTTTAAATAGTTCTTAAAAAATAGTATACTTTGGAGTTAGAGGATGCAGATTTACCTGAGGATTCAAAACCATCAATTAACCCGAAACAGTAAAACCTAAATCTTTAATACTGTTAATGTCAGTTGTGGATTTGTACATTTTTAGATTGAGTTATCTGCTATGATATTTGAACAAAATCCCTTTTTTATACTACCTAAGCCATCAATTTGAACTGTGAAATTAGGCTGTACCAAGAGAGAATTTAGTTTACTAAGAACATGTATTAAGTCAATAATAGATATGCATGCAGAAGGTCATAAGCATCCTTAAGAGAACAGGCCTGGTGCTCTGTTACCTGTGAACTCAGTGCCATGCAGTATTTGCAGTGGGAGAGAGGAAATGGTCTGGAGAGTCACAGCGGCAGCAGCTGGCTATCCTGAGTGTTTCTTCACTCCATCAGCTGATTCAGCACTTCTTTTATGAGCTGGGTGACGAAGGGGGTCTATCAGTAAACACAGAACCTCACCTTTTAAAATAAATTGGAAAAATAAATAAATAAGAAACAACCTACTTTTCTCCCCTCATCCCCTTATTAAAAAAAAAACCCAATAAAACAATCAGTGTTGTTCATTTGATTTGTAATGTCATAAATCAGTTATTTCATTTAATGTAGAAAAAGTTAAGTAACCAAGAATGGTTGCTACACCAGTCAAAAAAGTGTACCTAGCTTTTTTGTTGAATGGAAGAGGGGGAAAAGTTGCAGCAGAAGTTAATTTTATAATCTAAAAATATTAAAAAACAAACAAAAAACCCACATCAAAACACACCTCACATCCCTCCAAGTAACTGTAAACATTCACCCTGTTTTCCTTTGCCCACCAGAGTGCTTTAGGTTCTTCTGACTCCTCAGGAAATATTCTGCATCTTTCTTGTTTTGAGATTTTTTTTTTTGGTTTTGAGCTTCCAGATTAAATTGTAGATCTGTAGTGTAGCTACCTTGTCATATCCAGAGGTCAAGTCTGCAAGCAAGGTCAGGACTTCTACATGGTCACTACAGAGGCTAACTTATTTTCTTCTTCAGTGACCACAGGCTAAACTGTTAAAGCTTTATAGGCAGCTAAGCATTTGAAACATGCACTCCCAGGCAAACAGGCTCTCTTGTGCCTCTCTCTTCCCTGACCATATTTAGTCAACCATAGCAAAAAATAGTCTCTCAGTTGTCGATTGTCGATGCAAAAGCTGAGGAAGCCTCTATCTTGCTTTCGGCCTATTGATTGTTCATCCTGCGGTCCAAACACTGCTTTGCCATTTGTCCTGCTCTTTTTTTTTTTTTTTTTAAAGTGCTGCCAAATAAAGCGGTCTCTCATGTTTCCACTTACATTTCCCAGATTTTCACTGAGCTTGTGCTGAGACTAGGAAAGCCTCATGCGGCTGTCACTATACTTAGAAGCACTGCAGAGAAAGAAAGAGAAAAAAAATCACCCAAGACACTCTTTAGACAGATATGGAGCAAGTGAAATCCCTCCACTGCCAAAAAATATTTTATAACTTCACTTTTTTGTTGGTAAAAAAATGTTTTGGCTGTAATATGTTACACAGCTGAAGACCTGAAGGGATTATATAGGGTTTCATTTAGGGATGGTTATCAATATCTCTGCCTTTTAAATTTATTGCAGAGTATTTGGATGAAAATAGAAATGGTAAGTAAAACCTGTATATTGATGGAGGAGAAAGATCACTAAGAAGATAGTAGTGTGTAAGTGAAATCTTGGAAATGCTGCTTAAAACTTGTAGCTTAATGTCAATTTTAGTTAATTTTTTTCTTAGTGTTTAGTGCAAAACAGGGTCCAGAAGTACCAAAATGCACTTTATTGTGAATTAAATTCTATTTTATATTCAAATGTGAAGTGTTTTTCTCTCCTATAATGCCATGGGTCTCTGATTTTCTGAAATAGCATTTAGGTTTTATCATTGCACACTTTACCACAGACTTAAATCATCACGAACCTGTCTATAACTTTGCTACATGGTGTATTTTTCAAAGAAAAAGTACTTCTCTAAATTTTAATAGTATATTTACAATAAATTTTAATATAGAAAATTATTTTCTAACCAAGGACAAAAGAAGTATTAAAGCATTAAATCCATCAACCTCTGCAGGTGTACTTTCAAATGTCATAAACCTAAAAATGCCCAAGAGAAAACAGCCATAACCTATTCTTAATTCAAATATATTCTCTTAAGTGTTGATTGAGTTAATAATCAAGGAAAACCTTATGAGTATTCAGAGCTCATTCTCCTACAGGAGAAGTTGTCCCTGACATTCTTTTTGTCTTTAATGCTTAGTACCCTAGCAATTCAGTTATTTTGGATAGCTATTTTAAAATAATGACATAAGGAATGCTTCTGTAGATTTTTGGCAGTTTTAGAGAACCAGCTTTCCTAGATAAAAAATAATTTTACACATAATGTGAGATAACACACCTCAGATTATAAAATAGTTTCAGTTTCTAACTCCCAAATTATCCCATTTTTGCTATTTTGTAGCAATGAAAATATTTTTTTAGCAAACATATAATGTATTATCTGCCAGATGCTCTTCTAAGCCTTTTTAAAAAATAAATAATAACTCCTTTAATTTTCGTAACAACCCTGTGAGGTATGACCTGTGATTTTCTCACATTTTACAGATGAGGAAACTGAGTCATAGTTAAATAATTCTGGCTATGGCTAGAGTTAGAATTTGAGCCTATGGTAATTTGGTGTCATTCTGGAAGTTCTTCACGTCATGCCATGCTGCTGTTCTGGTTTGTAATAAATGAAATGAGTTAGAGAATTACCAAGCCTGGGGACTCAACAGTCTACCTGAAATATAGTGAATTACTAATATTCCTACCTCAGCAGGGATATCAGTAAGGTGATTGCTTATTCACTTGTTTGTTTCTTCATTATTTACATTCAAGGGAACTTTGATTTGTATAAGTAGGTAAGTAAAGTATACTTCTTTGAAAGAAATATGTTTAAGTTTTGGAGTCACCTTTTCGCATGCCCCAAATAACTTCTGCTTGGTCACCTTTCTTAGTAAGTTCCTTTATGGATTCTGGACTAACCTGCTTTACCTGTTATTTCAGGGATTTTTCATTATCTTAACTTCCAGTTAACTTTATTGAACACCTAGTATGTGCCATAGTGCTATTCTAATTTCTTTTTCCATTGAATAATACCAATATGTAAGGCCTCCATAGTTTACCTGCTATGATTTGTTTGGAAAAATATCCCCTGTCTTTGAAAAAAAGACAGCAGAGACAGTGCCATTTGAATATTACATACCAATGTAGACAGCTGCTTGTCCCGTCTACTTCTTAGAACTCATTTGTTCATTATTCAGCAAACATTGTGAGTACTACTATGTGCCAGGGATTATGCTAGGCACCACTGTTAGTTGTTCTGCAACTTAATGCTTCTTTGGCACTGTTCACAAATGCCTGCTTAACTGGTAGTAAGATCTTATCTTTAAAACATCCATGTCCTTAACAGTTCAGAATTGAAGAAGTGTTTGAGCATTAGGGAAAATATCACCAAATCTCCACAGGGGAGAGTTTGTTGGCTTAATCAGATCATTAATTTATTGAGCTAGTAATACCTTTATTACTGTAACTCTGTGGTCCCTGGCGCTTGCAGTATAACAACTAGCTGAAGGGAACTGCTTGCAGTGCCTTTTTGGTTATGTTGTGTGTTCCTAAAATCAGCTGCCCTATGGAAGGAAAGGAGGCAGACTGTTTTGAGCCACTGTGGGTGCAAGAGAGGACAAACCAGGGACTTTTGCTTCACTTACCCTTTGTTTAGCTTTCAGGCTGGGCCCAAAGACAGGCTCTTTTCTTGAGGTTCTGTGTTGTTTTGTTTAGTTTTTGAGGGGGTAGGCAATTTCTAATTAAGCTAAAGGGGTCAGAAATTAATCCACCTCAAAACTCCAGTACAGAAGAATTCCAAATAGTTTATGTTGATACCCTCCCTGCTCTCAAGGAAGTAGCACATAACTTCCACTCCTTAAGTGTGGGGCTATGCAGTCACTTACTTGGGAAGAATGTAGTATAACAATAGGGAAAAAGAGAAACTTCACAGCAGAGAAATCTGACAAACACTACCTCATCCATGTGATCAGGGTCAAGATCAAGAGTAATAAGCCATGTTGATAGTATGTACCCATGGTATACTGTGCTGAAAGTTTACTTTACCTATGTGACCTCTTCCAAGAACCCAAACTCCAGTGTAACCATGAGAAGAACATCAGATGAATTCCAGCTGAGGAACATTCTATAAAATATCCAGTTAGTGCCCCTCAAATCTAGAGTCATCAAAAACAAGGAAAGTCTGAGAAACTGTCACAGCCAAAGGGAACCTAAGAAGAAATCACAAATATAATGTATTCTGAAATAGAGAAGGAACATTAAGAAAAACTGATTTTTTGTAAATCTAAAATTGTTCTCAAACAGGGGTAGCTCAGAGCTAGAGCACTTGCCCTAATGTGGACAGGGCCCTGGTTTGATTCCAAGCACTACAACCAATCAATCCGTCAATCAATAACAAAAAATGAATCTACCTATTCTTGGTTAGTTAACCCTTGCAGGTTTTTGTTTGTTTTATGAACAGGGTCTTGCTGTGCAGCCCAGGCTGACCTTGAATTTGTGATCTTCCTGCCCAACCTTCTGAACGTTAGTAGTACAGGCTTGTATAACCATCATGTCTGACTTCGTCATGTCTGACTTGCATTAGTTTTGACTGGAGGCTCTCTGCAACATTGCTTTTCAAGTCACACGAGCAAATGGAGTTGATTTTGCTATCTCTGTTTTAAACAAAACATTAAGTAGAGTCTCATTTTCTTTTAAAAGTATGTCAAGTACTAGATATACTTGATAAAATATACCGGAAAGTATATTTTAGACTTTTTAAAATCAATATTAGTGTTATATTTTAAAGATTTAACTTTTGGGAAGTCTTTTTTAGATGAATGTTGATAATGCTGCGGGAACAAATGAATCTATGAGAAACTTAAAGGAAATCAGTAAGTCAGATGGTTGGATGATTTTAAAGTCATTGTCATTAACCTGTGATAATTTACACATGAAGATGTACTGATTATGGGGATAGCATTTTACTGGAGGACAGTGAATTGCCTGTCATGAACTCTTTCAAATAATTCTGGCGTATACTTACAGACTTTTCTCATTCTTTCTCCAGGCTTCCCACAAACCATTTTTTTCCTTTTCTTTTAACCAACCATTATTATCTGACAAAGACACATAATTTTCGTCTTTTTGTTACATTTCCATTCTGGTACCCAACTAAACATCTGGATTTCTTTTTCTACAAATCTTTTTCTCTGTCTGTTACTGCACGTTAATTTACTTAACTGTTGTCTGATTTACTTACCTCATTTACCAATATAACACTTTCTATGGGAAATCCGAAATTACCATTTCTATTAAAAACACCTCATTAGTATTATTAGAATTTTAGATCAGTTTAAAATGAGGCACTTGGTCTAAATAGTGCCACGTTTCTTTGAAATTTTAATTTTATTACATATTTCTTATTCTGTCAGTATTGAGAGGGAAGCAAAGCTTATACCTGTCAGGGATTGGCTCTAGGAACCCCCATACTAAAATCTACAGATGCTTAAGTCCCTTATATAAAATGGCAAATTTGCATATAATCTATGCATATTCCTGTGTACTTGAAATCATTTCTAGATTGCTCATACACTGAATACAGTGCATATGCTGTATAAATAGTTGTTACATGGTATCACTTATGGAAAATGGCAAATAAAAAAAAGTCTTCTTGTATATTCAGTGTAGATGCAGTGTTTCTTCCTGAATATTTTCAGTCCACAGTTAGTTGAATCCTCAAGTTTGGAATCCATGGATAATGGAGGGCCAACTGTATTTTAATTGTGGTTACATTTTAGTATAATTTACAATGTTTATGTAAGTGGGATTTACTAACATAATAGATTATTCTGAAATGAAAACTTGGGCTTTCTGGAAATCTGAATTTTGTGGCACATGCCTGGAATCTCAGCACTAGGAAGGCTGAGGCAAGAGAATTGTGAGCTCCAGGACAGCCTGGCCTACAATTTCCCCCAATCCTCCAAAAAAAAAAATCTGAACTTTGTGTTTTAATGTTGGGATTTTACTTATTTTGTAGAATGCAATCCAGAAGGGAATAGGATAATTTTTG